ACACCTGATGTTTCTTAGTCTACAACCTGCCAACATTTTCAGTGTGTGTGTGTGTGTGTGTGTGTGTGTGTATGTGTGTGAGATTCCCCAGGCCTCTTGACAAAATTCAAGGAATATAATTAATGAGACTTCCCCCAGCACTATTTCCTACCCCACGATTTTTAGAGTGCTGCCCTTCTGGACTCTTTAGTAGAGCAATATGCAGAAAAGCAGTGCCACCTTAGTTGCTTGTTGCTAGTTAAGTTGATCCAGAAAAGGAGCCAATTCTGGGATGCTCATGAGTCCTCTGGCATAAAGTAGCTTAAGGCACCAAGAATAAAACCAGGAACAGCAAAGAATTACATTTACATGAGCAGGCACTAAGAGTTGAACTTGCTTATGTTGTTGAACAGGAGAGTTTTCCCAGAAAAGTCATTACAGCAGAGAACTGGGTCACCACCAGAATATTTTATAATGTCAATGTGATCTATCAGATTTTATCCTAAAAAGACGAAACTGAAATCAAGCAATTTTTTAATTGGATAGCCGTAAGTTTGGACTCTACCATATCCCATAAAAGCTCGACTTTTCGGGAGTAAGAATGGTAGTGATGCACATAACTGATGAAACTATTTCTTGCTGCGTGCTCTCTCCTAAGCAAAAAAAGGAATTATTAGCACACAGTCCACCCCTTTAAGATGGTAAAGGCATTCTGGATCTCTGTAGGCAGCTGATTTCACTCCGTAATTTTTCAAATGCTTAGTCAAACCTGCACAATTTTAAAACAGGAACCGAGTATGTCTAGTCTAAACCCCTCTAATACAAGCTTGGTATTCAAATTCAAATACAAGCTAAAACTCTTTCATAGATAAAAGTTATATTTTTCAAGATCTTTGGTTAAAAGGAATAGCCCACTAATTTCTCTCCTGCTCCAATTCAGATATTTTTTTAAAGGACTCTATGGAGTTTATGGAAACTTTTCATTTGCTAATTTTTTCAGAAGATGAACAAATGTGGAAGGGACCAAAACATAGCATCAATGTCAGAAAGTGGCAATATTTTTTATTCTTTTTTCCTCTTCCCCACCTCATATACCTTACATACTAATGCAAAAACAAGTAAAAAAGAAACGAATCTAGAGATATGTGCAACTGACAGTGTATTCTGATTTCTTTTCCCATTTTCTAAAGTAATCATTTTTAAAAAAAAGACAATTTACTGTCCCCTTTAAGGCTCCTGGGAAAAGGAGCACGTGATTGCTGGTTCTTTCTGAGTCCACGTAATGAAGTGGCTTGCTAGCAACACACATATAATAAAGGGTGAATATTGCAGATTTGACCTAGAATCAAGTTTCCTCCCTGATGTTCCAGGTATCCTCTTCTTTCCACATTTCAGCATTAGTGGACAAAGATAAGCAACAATTGTTACCTCCAAGATCACCAAATCCACCTCTCCAAAGGCACAAAATATTTCCAGGAGTTTAAAAAAGAAATACCTGATGGTATAGCTCGGTACTCTTGTGCAGTTAAAGCATTAAAAGCATCAGCCTGTTTTCTTTTGTGACAAGTTTATTGAATAGTATCCACGACTTCATCTTTGTAAACAAAAACGTCTGCTAAATGATGCTGAGGCAGTAATTGCTGGCAATTTTTGGCCATAATGGCAATGAGTCATTTTATTGTGTTTGGTTTCTAAAGTTTGGATGGACTACTGTAGAACTGCCAGTAAAACAATTTAAATGTGGTAATTTTGTAAGAGTGGGAAATAATTTTAAGTGATCACTGCCAGAAATTCTTTCCAGATTTGACTAGCAGCAATTTTACATTTTCTTTACTCATTTTTTAAGTGTTCTTGAAATTGGCGAGTGGATTTATTTTTAAATACTTGACCCACATCAATACACAATGACAAAATCCAATAAAAGGGACTATGAGTTTGGTTAAGGCTTTCATGCATCCTTTTATCCCAGGTATTTCCACCCAAAGTGTATGTCTATGTCTGCTTACTTCCAGACACAGCCCTAGATTTTCACCCAGTGGGTTAAGACCAACCTAATCACACTGAATATTACTCTGAAAATTTTGAATAAAAAGTTTCCTAATGGAATTTTCACTGTCATTGTTTTGATAACTTGCAGAACAAAGCTAGGAACTACAGTTCACTTAACAGCGTTGCATTAAAAAAAAAAAGCCACTAATAATTGTACATCCAAACCACAGTGTAAACACTGGACATACCTCCAAATTTTGCTTGTGAACTAAATGTTTCACTAAAGTTCAGAAAAAGTTTACAACTTTGCTTGCTTAGAAAATACATTTTGTAGATTTCTCTAATCCTTTAAACTAAAAAAATAAACAAAAAAAACCTCAGTGGGGGAGGGGGAGAAAAAAATAAAACCTAATGGAAAAGATTCTCTTCTATTCATGTCAGAGTCACCAAAATAGACAACAAAATTTACACATGAAATTCAAAATATGATAGTGTTTACAAATACACACAACTTTGAGCAAAGCTTTACAAATCCTTCATACCATACAAAGCAAATATGAAAATAATGTAAATTCATTATCACCCCAAACCTAGTTCTTATGAGAATTTGCAGGAAAAGAGGTATGAATAGTTTCACAGAACATATTTTCAAAAATTTTTTAAAAACTCAAACTCCAATGCCCAGAACAAGATGAACAGTATGCTTAGCAGTTAGCACTATGTAATGTGTAATAAGTCTCAGATACACAAAAATCAAGTTCCACAGGACAAAGCATTTAATTACATTTCACAACAAGAAATGCACTGTTGTGATTTAACCAAATATGAAACATAGTCCTCTCCAATTTCTACACAACCACTATTTTCTTAATTTATTTAATTTGATGAACAATGAAATCAAATTTTCCTTTTCAGGATTTACCTAAGATGTAGAAATAACAAAATAGTTGCAATAAACTATATGAAATATTTAATAAGAATGTACGAACATATAACCAAAATAAACTGTGAAAAAAGAAAAAAAGACTTTTATCTTCAAACAACCCATTTTTCTAAAATAAAAATAGCTTTCAAATGGGGAAAATAATCTGCAGTTGAAATAAGACTCCCAAACAGCGCTGAAGTTTTTTTGCACTCTGTCCTTGGAATAAGAAATGATTACTTAACAGAAAACTTAAATTGAACAGCATATATAAACATCATATTGCTTTTTTAGTTGAGGAGGCAATATCTAGTGATCTGTCAAAGCAAATTTATAAGCATGAATTATCAAAAGACCCACTACACAGCCATGTCTTTTGTGAAAGTCTAACCAATCCTTTCCCTCAAACAAAAAATCCTGTACTGTCAATCCTCTACGATTGTAATGCTGAAAAGGCTTTCCAAATCTTACCACACAAATCAAACTGTTGCCACTCCTAACTCAATTACACGACGCTGTATTTCAGTGTTTCACTGATTTGCAACACCAAAAAGGCACTATTTTTTTTTTTAAAGAAAATACTTCTTTTAAAAGGATGACCCCTTTGCAAGTACATTTGTAGGAAATGTTGGGGATGCTTCAAACTAAGACAGAGGCCCATGTAAAAGACAAAATTTGTTTTTCATGATCTCAGTCTCCCATTCCATATGATTATAATATGTGACACATCTTCAGAGCATTTTAACTAAGAAAAAAGTAACCATAAGTAGAGCCTTTTTGTGGCAGTGAGCAGGACACTGTAAGGCAAATGTTTTCATGACAAGGACACTTACCAACCAGAACCCATGTGGTCCTCCTGCCTTAGTGTCCTGAATGCCAAAAAAAGTATGAAAGGGCACAGAGTCTCAATTCTCTCCCTTCTGGCAGCTGTACTTTTACTCTGCTTGAAGTTTTGTAAACAGGCTCCTGATCAAACAACTAGACCAAAAGCCTCCCAAGTAACAGGATTAAATGCATATCAATCCACAAACCAGCTTATGGATTTTTTAAATTCTATAACACTATTGCTACCAAAGCTAACAATTTCAACTTCATTTTTAAAAACCTCGATGTAATAAAGCTCTTTCTTATGAATGGAACCTCTTTGTTTAGTTACAGGCCAAAATTTCACATAAATTTGGGACAGAAGGAAATTGCCAGAACATAAGTCCATCATGGACAGGACTTCCGATCAAGCATCTTAAACAGTGATTATTAAAAGCAGTTTCTGGTTTTTGATGCCATCCAAACAACATGAACAATTTTTAAACCGACTGAACTAAAACTTGGAGGTCACACCAAAAAGGCTCTGGTAGGTAGAGGACTCCATATTTTATTTTTGTGGCAAAGTCTTATTCCACAGTTTTAAGTATGACATTAGAAATCAAAGTTCAAGGTTATAGCACAAACCAAGTGTAGAGTTTTATATTTAAAAAAAAAAAACAGTTCTGCTCATTTACAGATGAGTCAGTTAGGCAAACAAAGCAGCAACTTCAGAAGCAGGACTGTCTATACAGCAAGAACCTCGAGAAGCAATAAAGGTACATACAGTGAATCTGTATACAGAGATTTTATTCAATTTTAAAAGAAAATGAGGACTTTAGACAAAGCTTTGACCCTATAACAAAGCAAATCTGTCCAGCTTTAAACCAAATTCCAAGAATAGCCAACTTCTATTTTTCAGCAGCTGGCAAGAGCACCCTTAATAAGCTCTACTGACATTTCTATTTTCTTCATCCCATATGGTATAAAACAAAAGCAAATCTAGACTCCTTGATAAGCTTGATGTTGTCATTTGAGTTTTACAAATTATTTCTCTAATGGTATGCCAAAATCATTTTTGTGTTCTTTCCAGACAGCTTTACTGTAACATACAGCAATGTTTATCCTGATAGTGAGTCTTCTGTAAACGGTCAACCAATGCTCTATGTTATGGAATCCAATCTATATGCAATTGAAACAATCCACAGGTTCTAACCTGGAAATACTAGGAAAACAATCTGGATGCATTAATCACAGCACTATGAGGATCTACCCTATAAAGAATTGATGTGAACAGCTATCCTAATACAAGTTTTACTTTCCTTGAGCCTATAGGTCTGTCATTTAAGTCAATAACAGCAGCTGTGGCTTCATCCCGAGATTCAAAGGCCACCATGGCTTCCCCTGTGGGCATACCTTTTTCATTGTATTTTAAACAAACTGAGCCTGGGATCACTTGATAGCCATAAAAGAAATCTAAAATCTCATCAATAGACACAGTGAAGGGCATGTTCTGCACTTTAATTACTGTTGGTCCTGGTTTTCCAGAACTAGATCCAAAGCCAGGGGGACCACCAATGTGAATTGGGCCAGGCCCAGGCCCAGGCCCGAAGGCTGGTGGCCCACTCAAATGGCCAGGGGCATTTCCAAGTCCAGGAGGGCCACTTCCAAAGCCAGGCGGGCCACCTAAGCTACCAGGGCCATTTCCAAAATTCTGAGGCCCCCCTCCAAATCCTGGCCCACTTAAATTATTTGGTCCACCTCCAAAACCCGGAACATCCAGTCCTAGACCAGGCAAACCACTATTTCCAACTGAAGGCATACCAGGTCTAACATCACCAAAGCCCCCTCCTAATCCTGGAGGAGGCAGGGGTGGCCCAAAGGCATTCGGACCACCGAAATTACCAGGAAAGTTAAATGGAGGCCCATTATTGGCCTCCTTAGATCCTACAGTCAGGAAGCCATGCTCTTCACCTCCTGCAGTAGGCATTCCCGCACTGGGCATTCCCGCATTGGGCATTCCCACATTGGGCATTCCCACATTGGGCATTCCGGCACTGGGCATTCCAGCATTGGGCATTCCGGCACTGGGCATTCCTGGAACTGCAGGATTACCTGGTACAGGCATCTTTAACCCCTTTTTTCCTTGGGCAGGGGGATTTTTCTCAATCTCTCTCATATCTTCTAGAGTAACTACATGAACAAAAGCTTCTCTCCCATTAAGTTTTTTACGGTGTAAGCGTTCAGACTTACGTGCATCATCTTCATTTTTAAACTGAACCAATGCCTGTCCTAAACCTTGCCCATTGTTATCAACAAGAACGTGTACAGCATTTTCATCCACTGGGATTCCTTCTAGGAACTGAAGAACATCCATCTTGGTAATGCTGAATGGAATATTTGTTATGTGGGCACAGACTTTGGTAGAGCTGACATCCCCCTCTGGATTTAACATCATTTCTCTCTGGTCATAGCTGAAGTTCTGCAGTCTTTTTCTAATCATATCTATCTTTTCTAGCATACCTTTCTTAGTAATTGGATGAACCTGAATAAAGCGATTGCCCATGTATTGTTTATGACGAGACAGAGCAGCCTTATAGTCAGCCTCATTCCTGAACTCTACGAAGCCTTCACCAGTTGCTTTCCCATTGGGTCCATAAGCGATATAAATACTATCTTCCACAATATCCAACTTTTTAAAAAAATCAATGACATGTTTGTTTTCGGCTTCAAATGGTAGCCCTTTCAAGTAAACACAAAACCCAGGCTCATGTGGTGATCTTGACCTTGACCTTTTCTGCCCACTGGGCGATTTTGACCTGGGAAGTGTCTGAGAAGGGGGGTGGGTTTGTCCAGAGGATCCTATACTTTGCTTAAAAGTGATATGGCCTCCAGCAGCTACCCACTGTCTTTCTGTCGCAGGACTAACTTCCACATAGCGTTGAATCATCAGCATTCTGTTTCGTTTCAAAGCTTCAAACGTATCTTGAGGGGAAAGAAACTTAACCAATCCATTCCCATTATTTCGACCTACATGATCTTTCAACAAATGCACTGCATCAACACGGAGCCCATGAAAAAAATCTCTGACATCATTTTCCACTGCAGAAAAGGGCATTCCATGCACACTGACATACAGATCATCAGGGTTGATGTGAAGTGGTTTCACACTACTTTGCGAGTTCATCTGGATAGGGTTAACAGGATTCAATGGACCCAGAAACACAGGATTCAGGTTACTGTTCAGATTCATAGGTGCTCCAGAGCCATTCATTCCAGCAGGTAGAGGTGCCACAGGTGGTGGGTTCAAGGGTGGCATGCCCGACATGGGTGGCAGTGGAGTCATGGGTGGCACAGAAGGGACTGGAGGTATTGGGGGCACAGGAGGCACAGGAGGCAATGTAGGTACTGGAGGAGGAACTGGTATTGGGGGAATGGACGGCATGGGTGGCAAAGATGGCATTGCTGGGATTGGAGGAATTGGTGGTGGTGGGACTGTGTTCATTGGAGAGGCTGTGCTTGAAATGGTTGAGCTAAACGTTGGGCTCCCAAAGGAAGTCCCCATATTTGGAGGAGCCGTTCCTATGCTGGCTGTGGAAAATGTCTGAATGTTTTTGTTGCTTTCATGAACAGTAGTAGCGGCAGTAACTACACTGGGTGAAGGATTATTAAAGTTGGGTACTGTTGTAGGCAAGTTAACCCTGCCACTCATACCCGAGCTAGGTGGTGGTCCTGATCTACTAGCATTTGCTGGTGGTATATCTAAGTTGGCTGTTTCAAAACGCCTACGACTCAGTTCAATCATATTCTGCATTTCCGTTTTACTACTCAACAATAGTGTTACTTTAGACCCTTTAATTGTACCACCTGTGCGCATCATACCAAGCCTTGCATCTTCATCAGTGGCAAAAACGATGAAAGCCTCACCCAGTTCACCCCCTACAATATGCACGCCCCCATCAGGAATGGTCAATCCAGAGAAGAAGTGGCGAATGTCCATGGTCCCCGCCACAATTGGGAGACCTTGCAAACGGATGACCACAGCCATGCTGCGCTGAAACCACACACACCTGCAGATGAGAAAAGGCAATGGCCAGGTCAGACTCCTGTTTATCACACCAAGTTTTTAGCTACAAGAATGACCAGCTACCATAATAGGCCCTCAAACAGCCCCTCAAACTATCACAAGCAATGTTGTTTTTTAAATTTGGCTCTTCTAAAAACTGAGTATCACATGCCATTTACAATGTAAAACCTAGACAATTTCAACTTCCAAAAGGAATTAATTCTGGAAACAATTAGAAGTTCAGTCCCAAGACTCAAGTTTCAGGAAAAAAACAACCATAGGACAGTAAAATCACCAATTACAACATTCAGACTGCTATTCAGTAAGATTTAAAAGAAATGTATAAATCAAAACAGGAAACAAAGTTTAACAATCTATAGGGAGAAAACATGCAAAGGATGCATCAAAGTTAATATTTAAAACTGGCTTAGCGTTTTCCTTATAAATCTGACAACTTCATAAAATTATCAGTGTCATTTTATATGGCTCAATCTCAAAACCCCAACAGAAACAGAAAATTAATTACAAATAATAATTAACACTAGATTCAAGTCTCAAATGAGAACTGTTTCCATATTTCACCCTAAAACTCTTTAATCTGCCTTACAGCTTTATTAAACAAAACTATATATAAAAATTATTTATTACAAACAAGGTTAATACATATTAATAATCCAACACAAATACTAAACAAAATAGCCAAAATCTTAATTACCTATACTCATCATTCCCAAAAGTAGAACCTGGTTACAGTGTCATTCACCATGACTGTTTTAATTAAAATTCAGGTCCAAGGATGCATTCCCAAACCCTCCATTAAAAAAGGGGTCTTGTTTTTCCTATAGGGAAGGGCTGATAATGAAAAAGAAGTACCTTTTGGTTTTTGCTTTTGTTTTAAAAGAACTAGAGTATGAACTTTATTCAGTGATCGTTATAGTATCCAGCCCAACATAACTCCTGTGGAATTTCTGGGTACTCACTGATCTTAGACAATGTCCATTTTGATCTAATAAAAAAAAAAGTGTCTCCTAAATTTAAGTAACATTTCAGTATTTCAGTTCTTACAGCTTCTAAGAGTATAATGCAAGGATAGTCTTTTGTAAAGCCATACAAAACAAATTCTTGGCATTGGAAAAAATATTAATTTGAACTATATGTAGTCAACAACACAGGGTGTTTCCCAAGCCATCTTAAAAATCAACTTTTAAATATAAACCTATTAAACTGGCTCTATGACCTTAAGGAAATTATAAATTATTTGGACTTTGGTTTTATTTTCTCAAATGAGAATATTAGAAAAGCAAAGTTTCCTGTTGCAAGCTCTAAGAATTCTACTGCTCTATGAAAGCAGTTTTTCAATGTTAAATATTGTGTGAATAAGAATTCAAAGCAGGGCTGGCTGAGTGGCTCAGTTGGTTAAGAGCTCACTCAAGAGTCTGAGCTCTGAGCAACAGCGGTTCGATTCCCAGCCCGAGCTGAGCTGCTAACAGGTGGCAGGATGGCTCAGCTTAAAAAAAAAAAAAAAATTCAATGCAACAAAATCTGTAATCATAGCTCAATGCTATGATTGCTATACAAAAAAGGAATATATGTTTGGCTTTGACAGTTCTCACACACACGCACATGCACCACCTTTAAATTTAATCCTGAAAGGTAGACTGGTAAACAGAAAATGCTCTTTGTGAGACCAATATAAAACACTAGAAATTGGGCAGAGAGGGAAAGTTTTTATATTTGGTTTCCAAGAGTCAACAAGAAAAATTAGTACTAAAACATAATCGCACCAACAGACTCTTTTCTCCTTATTTACTATTTAGCAGTCTATCAGGAAGTTCAAGAAGGTTCCGAATCATTAAATCAAATTCTCATTCCTTACTGACTCTAGAATATTGGGTATATACAAAATCGAGATAGCATTCCAGTTCAACTACAAAAGATGCTTAATCATTTATTTAATCACTACATAGAAACATGGGTAATCTAGGTACCCAGAACAACTTGAGCGAGATGTTCGTTTTCATTGGGACAATAAAATTGAGAACTTGATATGATCCCAAGAATACAAAAATTAAACAAAGGGCTGAAGTGACATACACAGTGTCTTCAAACCATTTGTTGCTAAGAGAGAAGGGATCTAGTGAAAGTCTGTACAAGGTACACATGAAAACATGATCCTGAAAATCTGCCCAATTACCAGGTACAAAGGACTAAAAATTAAACCAAAGTAGAGCAAAAATTTATTCATAAAGCCATCTAAAAAGGAAAAGTTTTTAGGTTCTGAAAAAATATGAAATAAGATCTGCTATTGTACTACTAAGTACCTGTCTGACAAATAAATCATTTCAAGCTATCTTGAGCCTACCTTAGTTATTTAACAAGAGGGTTAGATTCCAATCACTGAGATTCCATTGAAGTCAAAATTTGTATTCTAAAACATTTGACCCATTATCTATACCTATACGTCTAAGGAATATTAAATAACCATACCGATAACAAGCACCTGTATTTGTAATGCTACTGAGGAACAAAGAAGCTACTTATTGCCTAATGTATCAGGAATTCAGCAGGAGAAATGCATTCATATAAAAGTGACTCCCAGGCCGGCAGAGTGGCTCAGTTGGTTAAGAGCTAGCTCAAGACTGCAAGCTCTGGGCAACAGGGTCGCCAGTTCGATTCCTGGCCCAAGCTGAGCTGCCACTGAGCTGCCAACAGGTGGCAGATGGCTCAGCTAAAAAAAAAAAAAAAAAGTGACTCCCAAAGGAAGCAACAACTGTTCATCCATCATGGTACCCAGTCCATCCCACCCCCATCCCTCAGATAAGCTTGTTAAAAAAAGAAAAAAAACCACAATTTAGTTACTACACATATTTTCATGTTACTTAATAAGCTTTCTCATTTGATTCTGTATAAAAACAAACCATCTATTCAAAATCTCTTACCTGATAAAACAAGAGATGTATTTTCTTAACAAGAAGTAGAGGCCAAGTCAATCCTGTGGGCAACCAATTAAAACCAACTTTTAGACTGCAATAGAGAATAAACGGAGGCAAAAATCAATGCAGGAAACACAAAACACGCACAGGCCACACTGAACTGTACATTACGAAGGCGAGTCTGAAACCATCGGAGTATTTCATTAGAATGCATATCAAAACAAAAAACAAAAAAAGGAGAAAAAGAAAGAATGTACCAAAATCCCACACATGCTTATTACTTGGCATTGCTTTCAAATTTGAGTACGCCTCAAAACATGATGTATTTACATACATTAAGAACATGTCATAAATTAGCCCAAGAATGAATCAATTGAAAACGAAAACAGTCATAAAGCTCTTGGCTTTATAGCTGGTAATTGCTTTTCTCACTTGATTAAAGGAGTCCAGAAAAATTCTATTAACAAAAAGTTCAACTATGACCTATTTCCTCAGGTTCCCACCAAATTTTTTGATGCAAAAGCACAAGTTCTCACAATAACAGTTCCTTGACAAATTAAGTCATCAATTCAAGGGTACTCATCAAAATTATTGCAATTACTTTCAGTATATTTTCCTTTGCACCAAAATACCATCAAACATTAAAAAACATAAATGAATAGAAAGTTCTAGCTATAAGGACTAATTCCTAGTTAAAACCATTGAGATTCAAAACATTACAGAAAAGTGTTTTTTATTTTACACCATAACAGTGCCAAGAAATTTATTTTTTTCAAAAATCCCTAAAAACGCCTGACATATTAAGGGTACTTCCCAAAGTCACAACAGGTCACTTATCTTTTTCACTGCAATTTCCCCCAAAATGGTGAGGTTATAAACAATTCACAAGCAATATATAATGACCAAACTAGACAACTATACTCAACTATAGTCATTTTTTTATTCAGAGAAACAGATTAGAATTGTCACTGTTAGGTATTAAGATTACCAATGGGATACTATTAGAATGATGATCATTTTTAACTATCTTTCAAGATCAAGACACCATCAGAGCATTTAGTTTAATATCATCACCAAAAAGTAAAACATTAAAAATTTTAGTTTTACTCCAAACTTTTCTAAAGGACAAGCGAAACATCTTCTAGACCACTACTCAAATTACTCAAAAACAGTGAGATTGTTTTGCCACAAACAGCTATGCAAATATGTCATAAACAACACTTTCAAAAGCCCAGAGCATTGTATTCATCTTTCATTTTGTAAAAATCGATCCTAATAAAGTTTAAAGAATTTTCAAACTCTTCATTTAAATGCCACATCTAGTAGTTTTAAATGGGTCACAAAGCAAAATAAGAAACAGAAAAAAGCTTGCTTTAAGTAACGGCTATGCTCAATGAGGAAGAGCATGAATTTTTACAATATTTCTAAATGTACAGGTTTGACTCTATGAAAAAAAAAAAAAAAAAAAACCAGGGTAGTTTTCTAGTTTAAGTACTTGTGATAAGCAGATGTTCCCCTACTGGAGATTCCAATTCAAAAGTTCTGGTGTGGGGACAGGACTATGTGTCCTAAAGGTAAGGGAAACAGGTTCCTTAGCCTCTTCCCTTCTAGACCCAAGAAGGCACCTATGTCCATCTGGAGAGGAACAAGTTCAGGTTCAGCCTATTAAGCCAAAAGGGAATATACTAGGTCGACTCTCAGAAATTTCTACAGGATTGCCAGAAATAACTGTAACAAGGAGGAAACGTCTCATTCCACAAGGAAAAGTTGAAAGGCCCAGCTGAATTTGGCAAATGCGCCATTCAGGGTTTACATGTTCAATTTAAAGTACAAAATCAATCTAGACATAAATTTGTGAATTTCTGTTTCAGCAAAGGGGAAGCACCATCTTACCCCATACCAAAGAAAAGTGTACAGAAATTCAGGCTGGAAGCCAGAACTTCACAACTCTTGCAGTTATACCTCTTCCTTCAAAAAGGCAGGATAAACAGAATCTGAGAACTGAAGTACTTTTGTTTTCCACACCTCACTTTGTAAAGGACACAATAATTTAATAAAGGCATTACTGTAGTCCATGAAACCTACTCATTCCTGTGTTACAAATGTCAGCTAGCAACTGAATGCAGAATACCAAAATGAAAAATCCACTCCAGTCACCTAAAACTTTGGTGAATTTTAGAAGGATAAGACTGAAACAATTCTACGCAACAAAACATCTAAAATACATGTTTTACCTTATACATAGAGCATAAGGGTGGGGAAGGAGAAAATGAACCTGATTTGCCATTAAGTCCACTGACATATTTCATTAAGATCTGAAGAAGCTTGCTTTAGTATATTTTTCCACTTTATGTTAGGACTTAGTCCTAACAGTGGTCTTGCTTCAGGTTTACAAATACCACATACATACATACATACATGTGCAAATTACAATTATCTGTTACAAAAATTTAGCATATTATTATGACAAGAGAGATTTTCTTATTTACTAGCCTTTCCAATCACTTGGAATTTCAGAATAAAATGTCTGACAACAGTCCTCTTTTATCAGGAAGCCAAGGCACAAACCAGAAGAACTTGACCGATTCCACTCTTCAAGTAATAAACATCCAAAAGTGAATTTTAATTTTCTTCAGTTATCAGTCTTTCAGCAATAAGAACCAGGGTACAGCAGAGCTAAGTTCTTCAGATTCAAAAGAAACAAAAACCATCAACTCCTCAAATGTTCGCGTCACAGATGAGCAACAGAGAACCAATCACAATGAGCACAACACAAGAAGCAGCAGAATTACATTATGTTAGGCATTACAAAAAACCCACAGCTTCATCCACTTGATTTTGCCCCAATCCCCAAATGGATCACATTTCAGATTCTGGAATCACTCTTAATGATAACCATTCTGACACTGTGGGGAGATGTGTCCCTTTGACAGCACATTACTCAACTTTCTCATTAACCTCTAGTCAGTACTCAAAGGCAGCAAATCAAAAGACAATTCTAAATAAGGTAGTTATTCTTCCTGAAAAAAAGATTATAATAGTAAATTATTTTTCAATCCCCCCACAAATGCCAACAAAAATGTTCATTATCTTACTTGATTTAAACTTCAAAGTAACAATACTACTTCTAAGTTAGCTGACCACACTCATCCTCTTAAGACCTAAAAAAGCTGGCTTTAAACTTAATGAACTAAACTATGCAAACCAAAAAGTATATGGGGGGGGGGTGGTAGTAAAATCTGAGAAAACTGTAAATTCGGTGAAGTTATTTTTCTGCTTAGTTGACTTAAAACTTTAACAATATTCATTTATTTCATGAACATTTATTAAACACTTGTGGGCTAGGCAGAAGATCTAGAAATGGACGACAGTCCCTGCATTTTGGGGAGGGAAAGCTAAAAGCATCTTTTGTGCAACCAATTACACTTAGTTCTTCCTATAACATCTACAGAAGAAAATATTCATCTAAACTGACTGATGGAGTGGTTCTCTACAAAATGGAATGAAACTATGAAAGTGTCACTGGATTCCAGCACCTAGAACACACTGGCCCACAAAATCAAGTTTCACATCTAAAAATTGTACCAATAACCCCCGAAATCTCAATATGCAACAATCAAAACATTTGGTATGTAAAAGAAAGTGCAAGAAGCCCTTAGTACACTGGTATTAGCACATAACAATGTTCCAAATAACTACTACAATGATTTCTAAAACTTCACATTTTTCACCTAACAGATATGAACATAAGAAAAATTGAAATTATGCATTATAATCCAAACAAAATCATCAAATATATGATCGAGCATATAAAGGTGATATAAAAATGCATTCCATTTCATTAATACTAAGCACATCCTCAACTTTGATATAAACACACCAAACATTTCTTTCAAAAATTACCATAGAATTATTTTAACCACCTGTAAAAGTTCTTCCCAACTTTTTAGTATTCTTGGAAAATGCCTGAACACAATTACTTTCAACAAAGTCCAGAAATCCTCCATTCTATCAAAGCTACCAAATTTCAAAAATAAATAAAACCAGTCTTGTATTATATTTCTATAATTAAAAAACAAAACGAAAACAAGATCGACCTATATGTCCAAACCTGTAAATTCTTTTCAACTGTAAATGCTCTGAAATGCATTAACAACAGAAACTAGAAAACAAGGTCCAAGACAATTCTTGTAGCTAATTCTGCATTTTACAAAAACGACACCATTTTAAACCATTCCAGAAAGAAGCTCTAAGAGAAATACTCCAGTCACGTCTACAACAACAAACCTTCAGTTGCAAATCACGTTTTTTCAGGTTACACTGACTGGCATCACCCTAAATTTGAATAACACATACAGAATGGTTCTTGCCAACTACCCCAATTTACATCAGGTCATCTCTGGGAATCCAGGAGTCAAGGGGGAATTTTAGGGTCCAGAAATCTCTCCTACGGAGCCTTCAACTCTCAGTATGTATACAATTCCCAGCATACGTTTAGCGCTGAATAACCCAAAAAACCCTCACCCGAGACCCTCAGATTTTCTACTATAAAGCACACATTGGTGGCAAACATAACATATACTTGCCAGTCTAGCAGCTAAGCCTCGGCACTAGTGTCCATCCCCGTCAGTAACCTGTAGATCCTCAAAGCTCCTCCCACCCATTTCACGTGGCTGAAAACTAGCACCACCGGCCTTCAGCAGAGCAACTGAATTCACTCTCCATCAAACGCACCCCAAATCCACATCCCATTGAACCTCCTCCTCCTTCAGTGCGGAAGGCTGTCTCCCAAGGGATACCCTAGAAGGGTAAGCCCCGCCCCAACGTCGGGCCTTGTAAGCATTTCACCGCAAACCCCTCCACCTTCAGGCCACGAGAGCAGCCAGTTCTGAAACTTCCTTCCTACTCACAGGAGTGTACCGACTATAGCTTCCTCCCCACAGGTGTGTCCTAATTATAGTCCCTTCTTCTGGTAGGGTCTCCTTTCCACTTCGGGTGGAGGGAGTGTCCTCACTACAATTATCTCCTCACTTCGGGGCACAGAGTAGTAGTTATAATCTCTGTCCCATTTGGGGGCACAGAAAATCTTGCTCACTCGGGATGTAGGTGTGTTTTCACTGCAGTCCCCGTTAGTTCGCAGGCCGCTGGTCACCCAGCTCTGGCCTCCCAGCTCTGGCCTCCTCCCTCTCAGATCACGGGGGCGTCCTCACTATAGCCTCGTCCCCACTTCGGTATGCAGGCTCATCCTCTCTTGCGTCCTTCTTACACACTCTCAGGCCTCAGAGGCGCAAGTGGCGCCCCAGGCCCCCCTGCAGCCTTGCCCCGGACCCTTTTGTGTGGGGCGCTCGCTGCGGCGGGCTCGGAGGCCTCCGAAGGCCCCGCCCCGGGCCACCAAGGGGCGGCTCGAGCCCCGCACAGCCCCGCCCGTTCCGGGGCTGCGGGAGTCTTACCGGGGAGAGCTGCGCGGCACCCGAACCCAGACCCGAGTTACCCCCCGCGCGAGTGCCTCCGCCCCGCGGCCGACAGCCCCTGCGCGAACGGCTTTCCGGAGCCTACAGCAGCCGCCACCTCCTTCGCTGTTTCACAAAATGGCCGCCAGCCCGCTCAGCGGCTCCAGGTTCCAGAAGGGGCGGGACGGAGCGGTTGACGTCACGGACGGGACGGCGCAAGCGCACTGAGGTTTTCGAGCAATCTCCCGGAAATTGCCGGTGTTTGTGGCAAGGGGGGTTCTGAGTCCGTGTGTGCGTTATTTGCACACTATCCCCGCCTTAGGGGAGTGACGCTGCTCGGTGGGATGCACTGTATCTGGTTCGGCCCCTTACTGCGGCACTTTGTGCAAAACGCTTCACTTCTTCAAGCCTTTACGAAAGGAGGGAAATAGTACCTACTTCACATAATTGGTTTGAGGATTAAAAGGGCCATAAAGTGGTGCCTAGTTGTATTCATGATTCCCCGACAGAAGAACCAAAACCAGATTCTTTTTCCCATTAAAAATTTCAATCCAGGGAGCCTTATCCACCAGTCTTCATTAACCCCATCCACAGCTGCACATCAGTATTATTTTATTATAGAAAAATCATTCCGATGCTACTTTGGTCCAAGCCTCCTGACTCCACTGCCCCTGCCTATACTCTGTATTTTGAATGTCACCATAATTGAACTAATCTTCCTAATCAGAAAGTCAGGAGTCAATCAACAAAATTAGGGACTAAATTTCCACAACTCTAACAAGCTTTGGGGAAGATCTGTGTGGCCCAATGTGCCAAAACCAACAAATTAAAAAACCAGGCCACACTTTTAAACCAAACCTATATTTTATTAAATATACACTTTGTAGGTATAATATAGTACATTATAGTGCATAAACAAAACCTACTAAATGCAATGTATCCAGGATTGGATCCTGGAACAGAAAAAGGACATTAATGGGAAAACTGGTGAAATCTGAATAAAATCTAGTTAATACTAATGTACACACATTAATATTTTAGTTTTGACAAATGTACCATAGTTTTATATAAGATGTTAAAATCAGAGGAAAATGGATATATAACTCTGTACTCTTTGTAACCTTTTTCTAAATCTAAAATTATTCAAAATAAAATTTATTTTAAAAACTTCTATAATTTCATCTCCTCCTTCCCCTGTTCATCTGCGTTCACCAAACTTTATAGCCTAGTGGCTTTCAAACTTTTTTGACCATGATCCACATAAGAAATACATTTGCAACTTGTTATACACATTCAAATTGAGAAAGATGAACTGGAACCTTAAGCAAACATAATCAGTCAGGAGGGTCTATGGGAGGAGCTAGGGCTTATGGAAGTTATTCTGCTCTATGTAATCATAAGAACCCTAGATGAGAAAGCCCTACAGGAGGAACTCTATGGTTCTGTGGTTCTAATGTCCCCTTCCATTAACTTCCTTTTCCATTCTATTATATAAATACCCCTCCATCTTGGCAGGCAGGCCAAAGTATGCATGTGGCTTGCCATGTCTGCATACACTGGGTTGCAACCCTTTCTTTTTCCCCAAATGAATCCTTTTTGGTGATGAAACACCTAGTCGATGCTATTTTTCAGTCGACAAAATATATAATCAAAATAAAATAAGCATGTGTGATGTACTCTTATTTTTGTGTGTGTGTGTGTGTGCTGATAATTACCTGCCTATGGTTTCAGACCTACAAGTGGAAAAACTCTGCTCTAGTTGCACTGGCCTTCGACTGGTTTTTCAAACACACCATGATTTTTCATACATCAGGCCCTTTGCTTTTGCTGTTCCTTCTCATCCCTCTCACATCTTTAGGTCTTTCCATGGCTTGAAATAACGTTTTTGCTTAAATAACACCTCCTCAAAAAAGCTTTCCTAGTATACCCACCATAGTAGGTTTTCCCCCTACTTCCTGTTACCACTCTATTTCTTTCATAGTACTCATCACAATCTAGAATAGCCTTATGTGTTTACTTGTTAACTTTTTGGTGTCTCCACAAGAATGAAAGCTCAATAATGGCAGGGTCCTTTTTGGTACTATTAACCAGCGTATCCCCAATACCCAGAACAATGTCAGGCTCCCAACAGGCACTCAACTGTTGAATGAAGAGATGTGCAGGCCGACTGAGTCATCTATGGAAATCAAGCAGAGCAGTAGTCTACTCCACAATTCCCAAGCCCAGCTTGGAATTTTCCCTGAGCCGCTCATAAAGTCACAGAGTACATAGAGGAAGGTGATTTTATTTCTCTACTATGCAAATTAACAAGTTTTTAAAAAGAAACATAAATTATTAGAATAATGGGTAGAGTCATATAGATATTTCTCGCTAGGTCAAAAGAAAGGAAGGAGGACAAGAACAGAAAGGAGATAAGCCTTCTAAAAAGTTTCTGTTCAGTCTACAGTCAATATGAAAAGGTGGTCTTTAGAGCCACAAAAAAAGATTAAATCATAGTTGATTATGCTTGTGCCTGAAGGAGTCAGTCTTGCTGAGCAGCAGTAAGCGTCAACTCAAATGTCCATGTACAGCATTGGGTTCCCTGAGCAAAGAGCCTTCTTTTAGTTCCTTTGGATCTCCCCACCAAGGATACAGACATGTCCAGCAGCTATATCATAACAAATGTCCCTCCAGTTTCAGGGTGAGACATCTACTCACTCTAAAATCTGAGACAGTTTTCTGGAGAGAAATGGGAAGTGTTCCCCACCAAAGGAGGTGAAGCCAGGGAAACATAGTTTTCTTGTGTTTCTGTCTTGGAGGTGGGCTGATGCTGAAATCAACTGGGTTATACCAATTCTGGTTTGAACATGGAGCACCCACTGGGTATAACAAGGTCCCCGGCTGTGCATGAGCAGATGAGGGAGAAGCAGCCAGGCCAGAACAAAGTCAGAGGCCCACTCTTCTAGTGTTGGGTCCACTTGATGCTCTTAAGGTCAACGCCATCCTGCACCATCTCCCAGAGAGGGCTGTCAAAGAAAAGAAGTATCGGATGAGTGAGGGCTGAGATAGGAAGCAGCCAACATTGGCTCCTAGGCCAAGAATCCTGTCTTTTTTTTTGTCTTTTTTTTCCCATCAGCTCCAAGTCAAGTAGTTGTTTCAATCTAGTCGTGGAGGGCGCATCTCAGTGGCCCACATGGGACTCGAACCGGCAACCTTGGTCTTATAAGCACTGCGTTCTAACCAACTGAGCTAACCGGCCGCCCCCAAGAATCCTATCTTCAAGGGAGTTTTCCTATACTTAATCTACAAATTACTAATTTTGTATTGATATTGCTGCAGTGACAACTGTCAATACTATCAATACCAATAATGAAAAACATCTGAATTTATGTAGTTGTTTTCTTTTTTTTTAAAGATTTTTTTTTATTGGGGATTTGGGGGGATGGGAACAGTGGTGGGGAATTGGGGGAAGGAGAACAGACAAGTTGCTGTCCTTTTGTTCTTCAGTCTAGTTGTGGAGGATGTTGCTTCACTGGCCCAAGTTGGCACCATCATTGCGCTCTTCCCAGGCGAGGTACATCAGTCACCGGCTTCTGGACAGCCGCTCACTGCGGCTGCTGGCCGTTCATGCTGGCTGCTGGCTACATACAGTAGCCCATGGCAACCCACTGCCACAGGGGCTGCAGCCCACGCCGCCGTCACCGGCAACTCAGGGCAGCCCAGCTCCAGGTTGAGCTGTTGTTCAGCATCTTAGCTGTAGAGGGCAGTGTCACTGGCCCTCATATGTGGGATCCGAACCGGGGCCCTCTGGCGTCCCAAGCCAGTTCTTAACCATCACGCCACTCGGCCGGCCCTGTAGTTGTTTTGTTTTAAAAAACACTTTTTCATATTCTGAAAAACAAGTAGCCAGGGAGATCCACCTTCTTGCTTTGTGGAAACTCCAAATCCTAACATCCAAGTATTCTCAAACTTTGGTTTCTGGCTGTGTGAACACAGAGCCTGAGGACAAGAGAGGAGCCAGCACTGCAATTCCTTCCGAAGGGTCTCTGGGACCACAGTACATACCTCATTTCTCGAAGACGCTTCACGTGGTAAATGCACTTCTCCACCGTGTAGTCCACCTCCTCCTCTGTAGTGAAACGGCCAATGCCAAACCTGAAAAAGGCACAGACGAGCTCTGCATCATAGCGTTAGCACCGGGGTACATTCATTCAGCAAATACTCCAGGGGGACCTACTCCACACAAGACAGGGAGAGAACATGGTCCTTCCACTCTAGGTCAGAGTTTCTCAGAATGTGGTTTGTGGACCAGTCACATCAGAATCACCTGAGAAGTTTCCTAGCGAATCAGAATCTCTGAGTGTGCGACTCAGAAATCTTCATCTTGCACAAACTTCCCAGGTGATAGTCAGTGAAGTCTGAGAACCACTGCTCTAGGAACTTTCATGAAGAATTAAGAAGGGATAAGGAAAACTTGATTGAGGAATACTGTAATAAGAGATGAAAAATCCAAAAGGGGGTGCCCTTCATAAATATTGCAGCTGAACTGATTGACCTGATAGAAGAGTGAGCTAAATCCTCATCGGTGCCAATTGCTCGAAGGACGTAAGAGGGCTCCAGGGATGCGGAGGTGCAGGCACTGAGGAGAAAGACACAGAGCCTTGCTCAGTTCATCATCAACATCTGCTTTTATCTCCAAACCCCAAGGCTTGCTACTACCCCTCAGGTCCCTGGAATCATACCATGGAGACAAAAGACATTCTAATCTGGCAGAGCTAAAGTAAAGGACCTGATGCTGCCTGCATTTTTTGGGATGTAAATCTAGATCTTCTGGGTTCCATGGAGGATAAACTCTCTGAGCAAGGACACTGCCAAACCAGGACGCCACATGAGCTGGTCTGACAAGAGGCAGTAGAACATGTGTTCACTCCTCTATGACCTAATACACCATCTTGTACCAGTCAAGATGGCAGCTAAACCCTTGGTGGCCTTTAAAGCAGACCTCCATTCTAGAGGCCTGCAACAGAAATGCTAATATAATAGAAAAGATATAGGCATCTCCTGGACCGCAAAAAGCACAAAATTCTACCCCAGGAAGCCCTCCTAGGGTGCAAAACTGCAGCCTGTGCCTAACCACCTAAAATAATAGGCCCTTACAAAATGAGCTTTACTCTTAACTAAGAGCTCTTGTGTCTCTCATCTCCACACTGGGGAGCTTTATAATCTGTTATAACACTGAGAAGCCAGGCTAATCGGTCCTGCCACAGTCCCTGTCTATCCAGTCCAACTCACCTCCCCGAAGATAAGGCAACATCCTTGAGTGCCATCAACAGACTCTCCCCTTCCACATATGCAAAGGAGAGGTTGATACAGCCTGGAAGAGAGAGCCACTGTGAGAAGAGTCTCCGAGTCTCAGGCTCTTCCAGGATGGGGATAGAAAGGGCATGTCCATACCTGGGTAATGATGCTCCTGGTCCCCATTCATCACCACATCTGGAAGGCTCGACATTATCTTCTGTGTCAACCTCTCTGCTAACTTGGATATTCGCTTGTGGTCATACTAAGGAGCAGGCAAGGCAGAGCTAAGCATAGTGGCCATCAACTGGTCAGAAACACACAGGATGAGGAGCCCTTCCCTGTGTCCAACAGTGACTGTGCATCTGACCCATCTATCGTCCCGTGTTACTCGTGGAGACCAGTGTCCCCCAGCACTGAGCACGTGCCTGACGTGCAAAGGTGCTCAATAACTGGACACACGGGTCTCATCACCCACAAATAAATAGGCTGATATCTACTGAAAGGGCCTGGATTTTAGAGCCTGTAACACCTCCCTTAGAACAAGAAGCTAGCAGCACTGGGACAAGGATGGTTTTCTTAAACCTCCTCTTCTGGCAGAGATCTGACTTAGTCACGCTGAGAAGCCTCTAACAGCGGTTCTCAACCTGTGGGTCACGACCCCTTTGGCAGTCGAATGACTCTTTCATCACAGGGGTCGCCTAAGACCATCGGAAAACAAAAAGATATTTACATGATGATTCATAACAGTAGCAAAATTACAGTTATAGAGTAGCAATTAAAATAATTTTATGGTTGGGGGTGACCACAACATGAGGAACTGTATTAAGGGGTCGCGACATTAGGAAGGTTGAGAACCGCTGCTCTAATACGAGACCCAGCACAGGGGAAGTTGTGGGAGGGAGCTGTTCTCTCCATACCTCCATCTCTTGCTGTGCCACCTCACACGCAGCCCCCAGCCCCACCACCAAGGGTGTGGGCACTGTCCCAGACCGCATACCCCGCTCCTGCCCCCCTCCACTCTGCAGGGCCTCCACACGCACACGGGGCCTGCGACGAATGTAGATGGCACCAACCCCTAGGAAACAAAGTTGGTTACAAAAAAAAAAAAAGAAAAAAGCAGATGAAACAAAATATCACTTTCCAAAGGGGTCAAAATATTCTTTCAATTATTCTGTAAGCTTGAAATTTTTCAAAATAAAAAAGTTGGAGGAAAAGAAGAAAGAGCAGGAAAAGCATAATACCGTACCTACTTATCAAAATTATTTAACATCTAGAGGGCAACTACCAGAGGGAGTAACGACCTTTTGGTCATTTTAAGTTTAAAGTAGCCCTTTATGCATGTGTTAATAACATCATGCAATGCGGCATTATTCATAATATCAAAAAACTTGGAAACAACTCAGATATCCATCATGGAGGGAATGGGCAAATAAGTTACTGTACATCCATACAATGAAATACAAAGCAGGTATATAAAACAATGAGGAAGCTTCTTCTGTACTGCCAGTGTAAAATCTCCCCGACAAATTGTTAGAAAACTGGTGAAATCTTAATAAAGTCTATACTTTAGTTTAAAAAACAAAAGACGTATTGTTAAGTGAAAAAAAGCAAGGCACAGAATAATGAGTATAGTATACTATCTTTTGAGTTAAAAAACACAGGGCAAGAAGGGAAGTATATATGTGTTTGGAAATACAAAGAATAACTATAGAAAAACACTCAAAAAACTGCCTCCCCAGGGAAAGGTGGGGATGCGGGGAGCTACATGGCTGGAAGATGGAGGAGACAGACTTTCTTCCCTGTATGTTTTTGTAGGTTTTGCATTTGGAACCATGTGAATATATTATCCTGTCTAAATAGAATAAAATTGAAAGTAAAAAAAAATACACAATCTCCCAAGGTCTATCAAAACTTAAAAATATGGCCAGCCGAGTGGCTCAGTTGGTTAAGAGTTGGCTTAAGAAGGCGAGCTCTGAGCAACAGGGCCGCTGGTTCGATTCCCACATGGGTCAGTGGACTGCGCCCAAGCTAAGCTGCCAACAGGTGGCAGGAAGGCTCAGCTGGTGTAACAACAAGATTGCCTGTTTCATGGTGGGCTACGCCCACCCACAACTAAGACTGAACTCAGCACCTTGAGATGAGCTGTGGCCCCGATGGCTCAGTGGATAGATCGTGCACTCCTAACAACAAAGCTGCTGGTTCGACTCCCGCATGGGATGGTGGCTATGCCCACCTGCAACTAATATTGAACACAGCACCTTGAGCTTAGAGGCCATGAACTGCTGACTGGCAGCCAGGTGGCGACTGGCGCCCTCCACAGTGAATATTGAACAACAACTTGGCTGGTTCCCTTCCCCAATTCCCCAACACTGTTCCCCTCCCCCAATTTCCCAATAAAATCTTTAAAAAAATCTTAAAAATATGACTTGTGACTCAGCAAACTTATATACAGCAATTTCATACCAAAATATGAGCATGAATGTGCAAAGATATTCCCCAAGTAGTCAAGGATTTTTTAATACGAGTGGGTGCTTGATGAAGTTCATCTTCTCACATAGAACTATTGAGGCAGAGGCTGTAGGTACTATAAAACTAAGGCAGTGGTTCCCAAATTTATTATTAAGAACCCTAATAATAAGTTTTTATTTTTCTGGGGTTTTTTTAGCTGAGCCATCTGCCACCTGTTGGCAGCTCAGCGGCTGCTCAGCTCAGGCCGGGAATCGAACCGCTGTTGCTCAGAGCTCAAACTCTTGAGCAAGCTCTTAACCAACTGAGCCACTCGGCCGGTCCTCTTAAAATAATTTTTGATGCCTGACCACTGCACTGTACACCTGTTACACCTGAAGCTGATGAAGAATAATAATGAATATCAACTATGATCAACTATATATATATTTATATATATATAGTCATAGGATGTAAAGTACAGCATAGGGAGTATAGTCAATGATATAGTAACAGCTTTATACAATGTTAGAGGGGTAGAAGACTGGGAGGGGGGTTATCACTCTGTGAGGGGTATAAATGTCTAATCGTTATGGTGTTTTGTGAACCTGAAACTAATAAAAAAAAAA